GAACGCGCAACTCGCTGCTACAATTCTGCTGTGCTTAACCGCCCGGCCTCCTTGCTGATTCTGACCAGACACTGGCGCACAGAGCTGGGATCGAACCCGCGCCTCTCTGCGCCAATCTTGGTACTCTGAACTGTAACCACTGGGCCACCCTGCCCAGAGAGTATATCTTCTTTCTATATCTATAATTAGAATATATCTTCTTTCAAAATGCAATGGCAACTAATTGGTAAGGTACAAATTCATTTCGCTACATTCACATTTTAAAATTTGACGCAGTCATTTAACGGCCAGCCGGGTCGCATCTCTGCTTGAACGGTTTTTAATCTTTTCCCTCCAGCGAAGCCGAAGTCGAGCTACGCTGGCCGCCAACATAGAGATTATCTTCAGCCACCATCCTTGCTGCTCCCACCAGTGTCGTTACCCTGGCGACCATCCGTGTTTTGGATTATCGTCGTGGCTCCATACGGATAATGATCGGACTCCACTAGCACACTACCACCTACATGACGACTCCTCACCTGGCCCCAGAAGAACTTGCTCTTCCATTTTAAAGCCGTAAGTCGTAAGTAACTGCTTCTTGAAGAGCCTAAAGTTTGCTGTGCTCAAAATTAAAGACATTTATCCAGTTAAAAATTTTCTTCATTTCAATTTAATCACTGATAATTGTTCAAACTTATAATTGATTTATCAGATAATTGATTTAACTGATGATTGGTTTAACTGATAAATGATTTGACCGATGATTGATTTGACTGACGATTGACTTGACTGCTGATTAATTTGACTGATAATTCACTTGACTGCTGATGATTGATTTGACTGACGATTGATTTGACTGACGATTGACTTGACTGACGATTGATTTGACTGACGATTGATTTGACTTACAATTGATTTGACTTACGATTGATTTGATGACACTGACGATTGGTTTGACTGACGATTGGTTTGACTGACGATTGGTTTGACAGACGATTGATTTGACTGACGATTGATTTGACTGACGATTGATTTGACTGACGATTGATTTGACTGACGATTGATTTGACTGACGATTGATTTGACTGATAATTGATCTGACCTGACTGGTGATTGATTTGACTGATGATTGATTTAACTGATGATTGATTTGACTGATGATTGATTTAACTGATGATTGATTTAACTGATGGTTGATTTAACTGATAATCGATAATAATATCATGAATTCCAAGCTTGGGTCTCACAATCGATCATGGATGTCTTTAATGTTGATTCGGTCATCTGAGTATCTCCTCAATTTCGATAATTTAAAATGTTCAGTTAGATATTATCATCCGTACTAATTTATCTAAATTACATTTTTTATGAGAGACATTGTCGGTGCAGTTGATACCAACAGGCATTAAAATTTAAAACTAATCAATCACGAATCCAGTTGATTTTGAATTAATCACTCAAGAACTAATGATATTCACAGACAAAGAAATAAGGATTCAATTAAATCTCTCACGCGATTTAGTGGAGAACCGTGGGGCCAACGCTGCAGTTGGGGATGGTAAGAAATTATGATGCCAACGCTGCAGTTGGGGATGGTAAGAAATTATGATGTCAACGCTGCAGTTGGGGATGGTAAGAAATTATGATGCCAACGCTGTAGTTGGGCATGGTAAGAAATTATGATGAGAAATTATGATATCAACGCTGTAGTTGGGGATGGTAAGAAATTATGATGCCAACGCTGTAGTTGGGGATGGTAAGAAATTATGATGCCAACGCTGCATTTGGGCATGGTAAGAAATTACGATGCCAACGCTGTAGTTGGGCTTGGGAAATTATCACGATACCTGGAATCATGAGACTAGAGGTTGGGCTTTGAGGTGGTAAAGATCTTACGATAACCCAGAATATAATTATTAAAATTATGAGTAGAATGTAAGTAAATGTAGATGAGATTCCTCCCTGTAAAAATAATAAATAGCATTCATTCATTCATTTTTATAGCGAAAGCACTATTTCGTCTATAACTCGTCCGACTCGTATGAATTTGCATGTAATTTTTATAAATGAAGTAGAAAGATCGAGTATTTTGTTCATCATAACTTCTAGCGGGGGCGCAGCCGTAGGCCACACATTTTACTCTTAAATAAGCCCTGGAGCCAACGCCTAGCTTCACCATGTTAACTTTACTCAGCCGCAGAACTAGAAGCCGCAGACTACGCTTGAACTCCGTAATCCAGACAAGCGATACACTGCCGAAAGATAATAACGCCGTAGGTCTTCAGCCAATGCTTATTAAGCATGTTCGCTTATAAGCAGGCTGTTCCCCATCCGGCTGTACCTACTCCGGCCTAACCTCTTCTGGCCTAACCTATTCACGCTGTCACTGCTCACAACCTTCTTGCAGCCAATGCCTGGCTCTACATGACCTCTACATGAATGGCCTCTACATGGACCGCCTTTCTAACTTCTTGCAGCCAGTGAGGTTAGGTTAGGTCCGATCAGGTTTGTTTTGGGTGGAGAAAGGTTGCAGCTTGTAAAGGTTAGGCCAGATGGTGTTAGGCCAGTAGAGGTTTGGCCAGATGCAGTATTGCGGACTATTTATTGCTTTTTAGTGCAACTGTTATCTAAGGCAGGATTAATTGAATACGCGTGCATCAGGTTTCATTTTTTTTTGCTTCATAATCCCAGATGACACGGTTTCTGCAAAGAAACCGGTACAAATACAAAATTCAAAGAAAAAATGTTACTGAATTTATAAACAATATTCGAAAATGTTAACATAACAGTAAATTACAAAGGCTTTCTAAACAGAAATATTCAAACACGAGAACTAGGCTCACCAAAATTCGTTCCTGATCTTGGTTCGGTCTTTACTCCGCCTGCTGACAGATGTCTAATGAACGAAATGGTTACGCAAGACCACTGAATTCAGCTACGTAGTATTCTAAGGCAAATGTTGCGTTCACAACATGCAGTATGGCCATTTTTACCTTTGGCTAGCTTATTTTGTGGCTGTGGACATCCGGCGCTATGGCTTTGAGCACTTGACTTCTTAGGCCGTTATGCACTCTAGCGTTCTTACCTATGGATAGGAATATGAACTAAGTGTGAAGTTTGGAAGCAAAGCTGGCCTCCGGCATACGCCCTTTCTGGCTTGGTTACAATTTACCTAATCGGTAAATTGTAATCGGTAAGGCAAACATTTTCGTGAATTTCTAATAAGAATTCCTGGGAATTCTGGGAAGTGAGTTAAGGTTCTTCTTGTCCGATTGCTGGTGCGGATGATAGTGTAAGTGTGTAATCTTATTTTGAATTTTAAATCCAGGAATTTCACTCTACACAGATTTCTCTCTGCGGTTGCTAACGACACAGTGGCGGTCATGAACGATCGAGGAAATACCGACAGCTATAGTGCATGCCTTGTGTGTGAGCCTACTAAAACACGTGGCGGCCAATATTAATTAGCCCCGTGTACAGGTACCTATTAAGTCTTTGTTCTATGCGATATTTTTCACGCGCACTTGTGTACGCACAGGAATAGGTAAAGATTAAATAAAGATTATATGAGAATTGTTTGAACATTGTGGGATAAATCTGACGAGTGGTAAACGATGACACAAAAATAAATTTTGCAAATCCCGACCAAATGGTTTATGGAAAACCGTGAATAACTTCAAGAAATGTAGCAGCATCTTGTTCTGTTTAGGCCAACACTAAGCTAGGATAATTAAAATACATAGGACTATTTGACGGAAACTATTTTGTCAGATTCTGGGACAACATTGTTCCCCACAAACGATTTATCTATCGCCAAACGACATGGAAACGGCAGGCGTTCGCCGAACGCAACAATGTTCGAAGATGACATCGCAACTCATATTAAAGGGCACATGTAAGGAGTGTGATAATCATTTTTATCACTTATTAGTGTTGACTTCTGCATAGCGGGCTGCGTACCATTCTGGGTTCAATTGAAATTAAAAACCCCGTTCCATTAGGCTAAGTTGCCGACTTGAACCTGCCTCTCCTAGCAGCTACCGGTAGGTGCGATACATTATACATAGGTTCAATCTATTACATTTTTTCAAAACTTCTGCTAGCTATCCAATGATGCAGTCCAAATTGGGAAATCTATTGTTGGGGATTTTTTTTTTCGAAACATAAGATCGATATTTTTTGCTATTATTCCCAAAATAAAAACCATTGGTGTAAATTTTCAATAAAAATGAATGTAGAAGTTTAGTACTGATACAGATTAACCTTTATGTTTTCCAACAATATTAATTTCGTTTATTTTCCCACATTTTCATTTCGTTTACACTATGAAAATCTTATTTGAATAAAAAAGTTGAAATATATGTAGATGAAAACTATAGTTATTTTACTTATTTATCATGAATATAACGTGCAAATGTTATTCACTACTCTCGTTTATACGTATTTTAATACATACTTCCACTACTATAACAATGTGCGCAAGATTGCATAAAAAATTATAGACAAAGTGAGTTATAATTTTTAACTGGTTATTTTGATAGTTTATCTCATTAAATTTGAGAAAATTGTATCGCCCAGCTCATGATAACTTTCCTTCACTTTTCATTTTTTGGTCAAAAAATCCGTGTAAACAAACATTCTGCTGTGTTGTGACCTGACACATGCTTGTCGGAGTCGAATAACTACCGTAGCAGGTCTTGCCTCCTGGCTCCTGCAATGACGGCAGTTGAACACTGAACAGTATTGAAATTGTAAACAATGTCAAGAATAGTGATGAAATTTTGTATGGGTTTGGGTTTTTAGGTATGGTTAAGCCATCAATTTAAGAAATCTGTGGAGCAGTCAACAGTGGCTACTGCCTACTAGCTAGTAGCTACTTGATTACTATTTGCAATTTTTTCCAGTATGTCTTAATATAACAAAATATTATAATAATAAGGATTGTCTATTGAAAATTTGTAATCTGATGTTCTTATCCATATAGGTATTCCATGATTGAATTTAATTATTGTATTTTATTGTATATATAGTCTATACTAAATGAACAATCAACTAAACAAGTTTATGTGGTGTACACTGTAACAAGTGTATGTACCTACTCCCTACTGTACCACTGAGTCACTGACAACACTGTAGGTAAGTCTGTAAGTAACTGTAACTCTACTCACTGTACCGTACTGCCGTACTCAGTAGTCAGTACTGTAACTTTAGTCTGTAGCATGTACGTGTAACGGTAAACGGTGTAAGGTGTTCGTGTTGCATCCTGCGGCTGCATGGTGTCAAGTGTCATGTGTCAACTGGCAAATGAGTTATGAGGCTTTATAGAGTAGTTATTTCCAAATGCCTTACCTAACAGGCTAACTAAATAATAGCCAATTTCACTTTAGAATAATGGAGTAAAGGGACAGAACTGAAGTTTCATAACGTTGCTTCGTTGCTGTTGAAAACAATTGTTTCGTATTAGATTTTTTTAAATTTCCAGTAATTAGTGAATTTTTTTCTGAAAAAATTTGGAAAGAGGCAAAGAGTTTTTAGAATAATAAATAGAATGGATAATGATGAACTTAGCTACATTCATGGTCATATTTGTCTAATTCACATGTGGTTTCTGTCCAATTTTTCAGTAATAGATGATGTAGAATTATAGACCTGATTAGACCAGTAAACTGGGAAATAGCTTCAGGGTGCGTACCAGTCAAGGTCATGGAGAACCTGGAAAGTCTAGGAATTTGATTTTTTATTTTCCAGGCTTGGAAAGTCATGGGATTTCATTTCAGGTTATGGAAAGTCATGGAATTGGCAAATGAATGAAGAAAAAAATGAAGTGTTTTTCTGTGCTGCACATGTTAACCCATTGATGCCAAGCAGTTAGTACATTTGTAAGTTGTAACCAGTGTAGACAAATTCATAATAAAATTGTAAGATCAAATATACAAGTGGAAGTGTACCTAGGTTTGAATGTTGATACACATCTTGTACATGTTCTGGCAAAGTTTGATTCTGCTGCACCAACTACTCTCTTTTCAGTTAGCATTTAAAGATTGCTAGAACCAGGTCATGGAAAAGTCATGGAATTTTTTTTTCTAAATATTGGTATGCACTATGCAGCCTGTAGCTTAGAGGACGCCGTTGAACAAGCCTGGGAGTGGGGGATGTGGAGGATAATGTTGATGTGGCTGCAGTGATGTGTGCATTTTCAGGACGGTTTGTAATTTCACACCAATACACCATTTAATTAGGTCATGTGAATTCACTATAACAAAAAAAAAAAAGATTGAAAAAATCATATTTTTGGAGAAATGAATCATAGTTTAGGTTAATTACTTTTCATTCTCTGTTGCCTGGTGCACAATTCCGTCTTATGAGATTCTATGCTCAATTTTGTGATGACCAATGATGGATTAATTTTTTGCCATGTGAAATTTTTTTCGCTGAGTGAGGTTAATGTAATCAAATTTTTTGTTGTTAATTGATTTTTTAGTTAATTAGAGTCTGGAGCCCTTGCTAGCTGAGGTTCTACTGTAAATGTGTTTTTAGGGGTGTCCCTTATTACCCTGGGGGGGTGTCCCCTAATACCCCATCATGCGGAAATGGCTGCCGTTTTTTTTTGGAATGAGATGCAAATTCTGTCAATCATGTTTTTAAGCCAACACCCGTGTGCAACTTTTATGTAAGTAAAATTTTTTAATATGACAAATATTTTTTTACTACAGATCTTAGCAGAGGTACTTTTCCAAAATCTCACTTTTCTTTGTTTTTTTTTTTTCATGGATTTTTTGAAGGTAGTAAATGTATGATTTCATAACTTGCTTTATGCTACATAGATAGTAAAAATGTTGAACTTTACGCCACTTCTTTTAGTTTTTCAATATTTTGATTACCTACTTTAGCTGCTACAACATTTCTACGAAATGTGGGATGACTGTCCCGATTTACCCTGCCCTTCCCTTATTACACAGTTTGATGGGACTTACTGAGCAATGCCATGAATAGAACTTTCCCTGCTTGTATCATTCACTAAATGCTAGAAGGCAGCATAGAATTATTAATTTCCATCATAATTATAATATATTTAATTTTTACTTTCATTGAATTTCTGAAGTATGAATTTATAAACTGTCTGATGATTTGAATTTATTTCTAGGTATGTTGTTGAGGTGGCAAATTATGTCCCTGCATCTCATCTATGTAGGGGCATTATCAGCCCACACATCTGTGGCTACAGAGGCAGAAGAGGTCACTGAGGTGAGCAATGTTGTATATTTTGTTATGTTTTGCCTTGATGAATCCTTGATCCTTACCTCCTTACCTTACCTTACCTCTGCCTTAATGAATCCTTGATCCTGATAATAAGAATCTTTGAGAAATAGCTTAGCAAATTTGTGTTAGCCATAAAATTTGAATTGCAATAACTATATAAAAAATAATATGGCTGTAAAAAAACATTCATAAATTATTATTTTTAATTCTATTTTTATTTCAATAATATTACTATTTTTTTACTTGGAAAACAAATGAAATTGTTATTACATTTATTTTTTGTCACTTCTGTCAATTTTTTACATGTTGTATAACCTTAGCTTCTTGTTTGATAACTTTTGCATACCCTGCATTTGATCAATACTTTTGACTGACCTGGTACATAGTGTTGCAGTATATATATGTATTGCAGTCTACAACATAACAGCTATATTTTTCTATTATGAAATGCATATCTGTTTGATGAAATTTCAAGCAGTCCAGTATCAACTGCTATGATTACACTGATCAGCTCAATGGTATGCTCATTTTCAGATATCAGATAACTTTTAATTGGTAAGGAACTTGTTACATTCTTTTACTAAGTAAAATATGTTGTGTCATTACTAAGTAAAATATGGGAGGGGGATCTACTACTTGTATGGCAGTATGGTTTTAAGTTAACATTTGTGTCAATTTATTTTTTTACCAATTTTCCTTTGTGTTCCCATCTTGCAATAATGAATGTTATTTCAGTTTTTTATTCAAGCCTTTTCCTGAAACTGAACTACGGTACCCACACTAAATTGAAGCCCAACCTAATCTGGATTATGTTGCCAATTATGGACAAAGTTTTACTATGCTTGATTTATCTTCTTTATAGACAAATTAAACTTGGTGATTTCTATCAAGTCTTTGAAATAGTCATTGCTATTTATGCAAGTTCTAAATAGATACCTACTTTCCAATTCATACTAAAGTTTGTTGGATTTGGAACTTGTAAATATCTATGAATACCTATTACACCATGTGATGCTTGATTTAGCTGCATTTAGTAGGCCGTAGGCCTGTTGCCAATTCTTAACAGGATTGAAATTTGCCGATAAATTGTTGAAATTTCACTGATACATGTGAAATTTTCTATCCTATACTCATATATGTAAGTAATTGTAATATCTTGTAAAGCATGTACAAAGTTTCTTACTTGCACTTCTATTTCAGGTGATTGATGCATCATGGACAATTTTTCCTGAGGAATCAAATATTTCAATTCAGGCTTTAAGCTCAGAATCACTCTCAAATCACAGTTCATCAGACCTCAGCACAGATATTAGCTTCTCTCCATTAAATACATCTTTCCCTACTATAAACAGTTCTAGAACTGACACTGAAAAACCTAGTTTCTCTAATGATACACTCGAGTCACTTCCCAACCATATCAATCAACCTAATGTTGAAGCCTGGAAGCCTAATACTGCCACTGTGAATATCCCCTTAAGTTCACTAGTTGAAGCATCGCCAACTAATTCAAGCGTCAGCCTGCCACCGCCTCTTCCTGTACACTCGAGTCAATCATTGAGTCTTCCAATAAATCAAGATTTCTCTTCCAATTCCTTCAGTGCAGACCAACAGGTGTGTAGAACTGAATGCAGCGTTCTCTATGTCTCCTAAAAAGTAACTTTATTTTATAGTTAAGATTAGAAGTTATTTTATATGTGAAATGCTTGCTGCTTAAATAATAAGCCATCTGGCATGACATCAAATTTTGTTCAACCCATATAAGTATAAGTGCAATGATTGAAGTGATAGTGATAGAAGTGAAGTAATAATGCAATGATATGATATATTTTTCACTGAATTTGAATATTGGTCATACTTATTGGTCAGTAATAATTTTTGTGTTTGAAATCTCCCATGAAGGGCACCTCTTGCATGGCGGTACCCAAATGTGAACTATTGCAATACAATGAATGTCTCGGAGCCTCCCTGCCATACACGCACACCAGCCTTGCCTTCACTCGGCTGCATAGTCAGCGTGCTGCCTTGGTGCGTAAGCGCTCAAAATTGAATTAAGTATCTATATTTTTTATGCTCTATTACTCTTATTATATATAAATGTCACAAAGTTGCTTGAAATAATTCCCTTGAACAAATTTGTTAATATTGTAACTATTCCAGTTTTTAAATTTTATAATACCTATATGTTCAGGGTGTTTCTCTTCCCAGTTAAGGTTTTATCAGGGAAGTTGATATTTTTTCAATAAGCTTTGCTGTTTTAGTAAGTACCATGTATAAATATCAATTGGATGGATTAATGAAATTATGACTCAAACTCTTCACTTGAAGATGCCTTCCAGTTAATTGGTCTATAGCCAATAGGTTCATTCATGGTTCGGCATGAGTTTATTTTAAAAATAACAACAGGCAATACATGGAATGGATTAGAATTGTGCTGTGGTGTAATTTTGCAAAATTGATTCTTTCTCTCATGAACTTCAACTAAATTTCTATGATGTAAACTTTTCACTACCAGATTTCAACTTAGCAGATGGTTTTCATCATATACGCTCTTGCATAATATAAAGAAAAACTCGGTCATGCTTATCACTTGTGGCCAGTTGAATAATTTGACTGACTGCAATATAAATGTTGAGGCGGAGCTAGAGGCGTGGGGGCGCTCCCTGCGACTGGTGCCTCGGTGCTGGGGCGTAGTGCAGCCTTACCTCTGCTCCGTGTTCTTCCCTCCTTGTGACAACAACACCAACACCTTGTATCTTCCTCCCAAGGTAAGACTTCATACACTTAATTACCATATGTAATATTTCTCTCATGAATTATAGTTCATCAATTATGTACTTCTAGTTTTCATGTTACCGGTATGTTGATGGCATAGTAACATATCTATTTGTTAACAAATGTGATAGAGATTTTGTCTTCCTGAAATTTTATTGGTGTTTTGTCAGTCTGTTGAAAAGTTTCTTTTCATGGCATTATGAATAAATTTTAAATTTTGTATTAGACCAGTTATTTTCATAGTCTTCTATAGTGTTTGTTGCTTGCAGTTTGTATCACTTTGATTATGTGATCATGTATTGTTGAAAAGAATTGTGATATTATGTGGTGGTTATGTAATGAGTTCTTGTTGAATATGCAAAAAATTCCTTCAAAATTCCTCATGCAAGTTCAACAGCTTATTTCATTGTTTAATTATCACTGCTTTGCAAAAATAAATTCTTTGAATACTTTGGATTTTCTACACTTGTTCTATTTGATGTACCTATGATGATATATCTTGGGAAATGATGAATCCATTGATTCGTAATTCCTTGAAATTTCCATAAGTCATTTGAAAATTTGTATAAAATTGAGTCCTGAAATCTCCTGCATAGCTATGGTTTTCTCGTTTTCATGTTGGCACATAATTTCATTATGAAATGATTTCAAAAGTTGTTAGAGGCAGAATGTTTCTGTGCATTATTTATGGACATTTTTACTATGAGATTATTTTTAATGCCTGCTCTTATTTCTTCCGAGGGAAATTTTGTACCCTTAATCTTTGATGTAATTATTTCTGTTTCTGTTACTGCTGCCAGGCTAGTAAAGGTAAGATCTATGTCTATATAATAAACAATTTATAATTTCCCTTCATTTCCGTCATGTAATTAAAGCTCATTAATTTACACGCGCAATTGAAGCCCTTTTATCTCAGTTCTCTTGATTTATTTCTAAAAAATTAAGAAAATGTAAAAATCAGTTTGCTAAATTTGCTAAACTTTATATTTTATTCTTACTTCTGAGAAGAATTTTTTCTTAATTCTTTGCAACTGCAAACTTATCTACAATTTTAGTTGAATTTTAAACAGACTGTGATGGTGTGACTATACCTACACTCAGTACGATTACTATATGGTACTCAGTATGGTTATACGGTACTAAGTACAATTATACGGTACTCGGTTCGATTATATGGTACTTAGAATGATTATACAGTACTCTGTACCATTATATGGTACTCAGTAGGATTATACGGTATACGGTATGATTATACTGTACTTGGTAGGATTATATGGTACTCGGTACCATTAGGTACACAATACTCTGTACGAGTATATGGTACTTGGTAGGATTATACAGTACTTGGTACCATTACACAATACTCTGTATGAGTTTCTATATAAGTCTATGTGGATTAATAATGTGTTGTGTGGGCAGGACATGTGTGAGGCTGTGAGGGCACCATGTGGTGTATTAATAATGTGTTGTGTGGGCAGGACATGTGTGAGGCTGTGAGGGCACCATGTGGTGTATTAATAATGTGTTGTGTGAGCAGGACATGTGTGAGGCTGTGAGGGCACCATGTGGTGTATTAATAATGTGTTGTGTGAGCAGGACATGTGTGAGGCTGTGAGGGCACCAGTACTGCTGTCAGTTGCTAAATAATATAATAATAAAATAATAAAAAATAATGTAACTGTCAGTTGCTGTCATCTCTTCCAATTCAAGGGTTTACTGTTAAATATTATTTCTCAAATATCAATATTTCAAACCAAATTAAGTTAGTGCAGATTTTAATGTTTTCGTTGTTCTAAGAATTTTCATGATGCCATTGAAAGTCTTGTTCTATAATGAGTTACATTATTTTTAAAATTTTTTGTTCAAAATTCATTCAAAGATCATAATTTTTCAAGTGTAAGTCTATATCAGAGTGTATTATAGAGTGTTTATTACTCGTTTTTGTATGAATGCATATATTAAGTGACTGGTATTACATGTAATATTATTACCCGCAGCAGGGCAGCAGCAGCAGCCTGTGGGAGGTGATGGGTATTAATCAATAAATGGGTATTAATGGGTATTAATCAATAATTTTTTAAAGCACATTGTTTAATCAATACAAATTAAGTGATGGGTATTACACGTAATATAATTACGTGCAGGGCAGCAGCAGCAGCCTGCGGGAGGTGAAGTACAACAGCAGCAGCGGGGCATGCGTGGTGCCCCTGGTACCCACACCACGCCCCGAGGCCTGGTACCCCGGGGTACGGGGCTGCGGGCTGCCCTGCCAACACCCGCACTTCTCACGGGAGGAAACCGCGGGCTACAGGAGCTTCCTGGCCCTCATGGGGGGCCTGTGCGTGGCGTGCTGTGCCTTCACTGTCGTGAGTGCTGTGCCTTCACTGTCGTGAGTGCCTTCACTGTCGTGAGTGCCTTCACTGTCGTGAGTGCCTTCACTGTCGTGAGTGCCTTCACTGTCGTGA